GGAATCAGGTTGGGTGAGAAGGAGCCTGAAGGATTGCACCATCAAACTGTGTTGTGGCACCTGGGGGTGACTCCTCAGCCACCCAGCCACTCAGGGCCCTGCCAGCCCCTCCTACCCGCCGCCTCCCTGGGCCCTGCTCCCTGCTCCCTGCTCCCTGGACTCCTCACATCAACCCTGTGCGAAGCCATCACTCAGAGTCTTCTTCATCCGAGACACCCCTCCCGCTCCCTCTTCTCAGCCACAAACCCTGTTTCTATTTTTCTTTTTTAAAATATGTTTTTATTGATTTCAGAGAGAGGAAGGAAGAGGGAGAGAGAGAGAGAAACATCAATAATGAGAGAGTCATTGATCGGCTGCCTCCTGCACGCCTCCTGCTGGGGATCGAGCCCAGGAATCAAACCGTGACCTCCCTGTTCATGGGTTGACACTCAACCACTGAGCACACCGGCTGCACTGGCTGTTTCTGTTCCCCCCAGGCCCAATTAGAGACACTTCTCTGACCAGCACCCCCCACCCCTATTTTACTGTTGTTTTTTTAACTGGCGTGAAATCTATGTAACATACAATTAACTATCCTGAAGTGTACAATTCAGTTCTTCCATCAACTAATTCATCCCTGACCATGAGTCCTTTTAATGAGCAAAGATGGTTCCCTTCAGTTCTGTCCTGTATTTTTTTCTTGAGGTTCAATTCACATAACGTGCAATTAACCATTTTAAAGTGTATGGTTCTGGGGCATTGAGTGCATTCACAGTGTTGTGCAATCACCACCTACCTCTCTTTAGTTTAAAACTTATTCACCCCAAAAGAGCACCCTCACCCATTAAGTAACCACTCCCTTACTAATCTGCTTTTTTTTGACTTTTCACTTGAAAGGATCATATATAATTTCTGACCTTTATGACTGTCTTCTTTCCCTTGGCATAATGTTTTCAAGGCTCATCCAAATTACGTGGCATGTGTCAATATTTTATTCCTTCTTAAGCTGAATAATATTCTGTTGCAAATATATACCCCACACTTTGTTAATCCACTCATCTGGGTTTTTGCCACCCTTTGGCTACTGTGAACATTCATGTTCAAGTCCCTGTGTGGACACGAGTTTTCATTTCTCTTGGGTCTATCCCTAGGAGTGGAATTGCTGGGTTACATGGTAACTGTATGTTTTTGTTTCTTTGTTTTTTAAAATGTCTTTATTGATTTCAGAAAGAGGAAGGGAGAGGGAGAGAGAGAGAGAGAGAAACATCAATGATGAGAGAGAGTCATTGATCAGCTGCCCCCTGCTGGGGATCGAGCCTGCAACCCGGGCCTGTGCCCTGATCGGGAATCGAACAGCAATTTTCTGGATCCTAGGTCGATGCTCAACTGCTGAGCCACACTGGCCGGGCCGTGGTAACTGTATGTTTAACTTTTTGAGGAACCACCAGACTGTTTTTCTCAGCAGCTGTACCGTTTTACATGCCCACCAGCTACGTATGAGGTTCCCATTTCTGCTGCTTGGAAAGTTGTTATTTTCCATTTTTACTTTTTAAATGTTTATCGTAGTCACTTGAGTGAATGGGAAGTAGTGTCTCATTGTGGTTGTGATTTGCATTTTCCTGATGGCCAATGTTGAGCATCTTTTCATGTGCTTATTGGCCGTTTGTACACCTTCTTTGGAGAAATGTTTATCTAGTCAAGTCCTTCGCCCATTTAAAAAATTGATTTGTTGTCTTTTTTGTTATTGAGTTGCAAGAGTTTTACACTATATTCTGCATACTAAACTCTTTTTGAAAACATGATTTGCAAAAACGCTTTCTCCCATTCTGTACGTTGTCTTTTAACCTCATATACCCAGGAGAGGGATTGCTGGTGGTGGTGGTATTTTTAAATGAATTAATAAGTATTTTTAAAGTTTCCCCAAGTTTTACTTTTGGATACACAACTCAGGAATACAGTTATATTGATGGAGATATAACCCATGTATGTGGGCTTTTCTGTGGGGTTCTCAATAATTTAAAAAAAAATCCTCACCCAAGGATATGCTTCATTGATTTTAGAGAGGAAAGGGGGGGCAGAGAGAGAGAAACATCAATGTGAGAGAGAAACATCTATCAGTTGTGTCCCGTACGTGCCCCGACTGGGGATCGAACCCGCAACCGAGGTATGTGCCCTGCCCAGGAATTGAACCTGCAGCCTTTCAGGGTACAGGATGATGCTTCAGCTGAGCCACCCGGCCAGGGTGGTTCTCAGTAATTTTTTAAAGAGTGTAGAGGGGTCCTGTTGGCCAAAACGTTTGAGAACTGCTGGTACAGGGTGGTGGCAGAGGTGGTGGGCAGCTGTCACCTGGCTGCAGAGGTAACTAGGAGGATGACATAGACTGTACCTGGTGATTCTTTGGAGGTGGGGGTCACGGTGACCTCTGGGATTCCAGCTTCTGCAACCGGGTGGAGTGCTGGGAGTGAGGGTGTGGCTGGAAGCTGGTGAGGTCAGTGTGGTCCAGCTGAGTCTGAGGCGAAGGTAGGGCACCCACGTGGAGCTGGCTTCTGGGTCGTTGGCACTAAGGGCCTGGAGCCTGCAGGGCACGGTGGCCTGGAGATGGAACTGGGGGCCCTTTGCTTTGTGGGTTTCCAGTCTCCAGCCGGGGCATGAACTCTCGGGAGGTCAGGAACTCACGACTGGGGCCGGGAGTGTGTGGCCGAGTTGTGCACACACAGGGCCTGACAAATTCCTGGGTGGCACCTTCATGCTCCCGTGACAATAACAACCTGGCCCTCCCGCCCCCGTAGCCACCAGGGCCTCTGCAGGGCCACTGTTGGGAAAGAGACCATGATCATTAAGCACAGGGTGAGCTCTGGCTGGTGTGACTCAGTTGGCAGGACATCATCTCTTGCACCACAGGGTCGCGGGTACAATGCGGGGTCAGGGCACATACCCAGTTTGTTGGTTCAGTCCCCGGTCAGGGCACATCCAGGAGGCAACTGATCGATGTTTCTCTCCCACATCCATGTTTCTGTCTCTCTCTCTCTCTCTCTCTCTCTCCCTTCCTTTCTCTCTAGAATAAATTTTTAAAAAATTCTCTGGTGAGGATTTAAAAAAAAAGCTGTTGCCTTAAAATGTTATTGTTATTAATATTGTGGGTGTGATGTCCTGGGACCTCTGAGGCGAGGTCATTAGAAGCTTGGCGGCCTCTGCCTGAGTCCCTTAGGCCGTCCTTCAGATCCAGCTGCCTCTCTGAGAAGCCCGGGAAGCCACATGTGGATGGTCCGGTCCACGGCCCAGCGGGGCTTCAGAGGGCCCCAGCTCCAGCTGCTGTGTCGCCTGACCTCACACAAGACCCCTCCCAAGACCTGCCAGCTGGGACCCATCAGCCCACAGCACGGTGAAACATGAGAGCAACTGTTTTAAGCCGTTCAGTTGTGGAGCGATTCTTTCCGGGCACAGTAGATAACCGAAGCCACCTCCCTCGTGAGACTCTGAGTCCCCACAAGGCAGGGATTGTGTCTTTTTCATTTGGGGGTCTCCAGTCCCAACCCAGGGCCTACTAAGGACCAAGTGCTCCCCCAAAGTCCCCCCCCAAGGGGATGAATGAGACCCGCCGAAACTCACCTGTTCACCCTGAGATAGAATAGATTTATTAGCAAGAGGTAATCAGGAAACATATATTTTTACAAAAATGGAAATTTCTTTTTTTTTTTTTTTCTCCTCCCCCCCCAAACGAGCCGTACGTGGGAATTATTCTGTAGGACTTGAAATCGAATTCTCATACCGCTGGGTATTGCTCACAGCCAAGGGGGCCCGTGCGCGCCGTGGAGCATGCCCGCCGCGCCCGCCGGCCTGTGCCGTCCG